CCCTTCTGACCCTAACATCTATGAATCTATGAATCTACCCTTGGGTGCCCCCTCCCCCCCACCCCCCACCCCTCCACTGCTACAGCAATGGGCCATCATGACAACCAAGTTCTTTGTTTCTAATTTCTGAGGATGTCTAAAAGCACAAGAAGACCCTGCCCTGAATTCTTGCCTGCAGCAGAGCACTGGGTACCCGGGGGGAGGAGGTTTCTATAGGGAGATCTGGGAACCTTTCTTGCTTCTCTTTGATCTGTTTGTTTGCAAACTACCGTGTAATAAACAAGCTCATATTCCTCCACACCGTTATTCTCCACCGTTTACTTTCAACGCTCTCTGAGAACACAATGTATGTGGTGTCTCTAATTAACCTACTGCAATTAGTGTCCAAGTGCTCTCTATTCATGGGTTTTCATTTTAACCCGAATGTGCAAACAAGGGCAGATGGCTGGCAAATGACGAGCTTGCTAGCAGGTCCAAGGCATCTGCGCACACACACTTAGCTGCAGGTGCAGATTTACAAAGCAGGTACAAAAGCAATGGGTACTGACTAGAGGTGTGCCGATACATCAGTTGCATATCAGATCAGCACCGATAACAGGAAATTTAATATTATCGGCAATCGGCATTTTTGGCCGTTGTAGCCGATAATGTCACCAATAAATGCCGCATGCATATGCACAGCCCCCATACACACGGCCAGGAATGCAGCCTAGCAGCTTGGAGAGTAGCATCTGGCTGGTAAGTTTGTAGGGGGGGAGAGGGGCAGATTGAGGCCCCCACGGTGAGAGAGAGAGTGGGGCCGGGGCAGGGGGAGGGGCAGGCACTGTCCAGCCAGGGCGGTAAATGAGACCCCGCCAGGCCAGAAGCGGAATGGAGCTGTGGGCAGCTTGTCCAGAGATGTGTGGGAGGGCGGGGATGGGGCACAACACCCTGCTGCTGCACACACCCCGGGGGGAGGAAGGGGGGGGCATATACCCCCCAGATTTGTGCTTGGGGCGAGGGCAGGCTGCCCACTGTGGGCTTGGGGCCAGAGGCTGTGCCAACCTCTTCCAGGCAGGGGGCTGGGGCTGGCCCAGGGCTGCACTCAGGGAAAGCTCCAAGCCCGCAGCGGGCAGCCTGCCTTTGGCCCACACACAAACCTGGCGGGGCACATGCCTCCCATGCCTCCCCTGGGGGTGCATGCAGCTGCAGGGAGCCATCCCCTGTTCCCACCTGCCTGAGCACCCCTACTCCTGGTAGGGTCACATTCACCACCCTGGCTGGGCAGTGCCTGCCCTTGCCCCACTCCCTCCCTCACCATGGGGGCCTCGATCCCTGCTCCTGCCCGTTCACTCCCCACAGACTTACTGGCTGGATGCTGCTCCAAACTGGCAGCCTGCATTCCTGTAAATCGATTACTGGATCGGTATCAGCCAATATGGCTAGTTAATAATCAGCTATCAGTATTGGCCAAGAAAATCTTTATTGGTGCACCCCTAGTACTGATGTATGAAACATATAGGAGAATGACAGGGGCCCTTAATGAGCCTTAAAAACTCCCACGCAGGTCCTGCTGGGCACTGAGCACACTGGCCCCCTGGCATGTGCTTTTGTTTGGCTTCAACATGCTAACCATATGCTTGAAGTGAAGCATATGCTGAAATGCAATGTTGGAGCATGAACACATGTTGGAGAGCTGATTTT